ATATACATATACATATGTATGAAAGTAGAAAAGGAATATTATTGATGATAACATGCATGATTAAGCCACTATGCAGTTTATTCTAGATGGGAAACCACATTTAATATGTTGTGATGATGCTCAGGGAATGAAGGTTAAGTAATTAAAAAAAATTGCAGGAGAAAAAAACCAGTAAAGCTGTTCGTATCGAAATTAAAAAAAAATGCATATATGATGACTGCAGTAAGCTACATAGACCCAGCTGGGTACTACTTTATAATATGTTCATTCTACTCACTGAGGTTTATGCATAAAGTCAAACTTGGGTTCATGTATAGGTATCCATCAGCTGTGCTAGCTATTGGATATATTTAGACTACTTAAGTTCATTAGCAAATCAATTAAATGGGGGGTGGAAGGCATAGAAAGCAACCATGGATACCAGAGATAATGTGGGAGGAGGGTGGGACATGGCAGAGGGTGAGGGATAGGGAATCAAGGATGGCAAAACAAAAAACAAAGTGTACAAGACATAAGAATTCGAAAATTATTTGCTGATAACATGTATGTTGATGTGCTTGATTGAGCCAATACACAGTGTATTTTGGATGGAAAATTCATTTGTATGCTGTAATGATGTATAGTGAATTAATGTAAAAAATAAATAAATTTAAAGAGAAAAAAAATAAAACCTATGGAATACAAAAAAAGAAAAAAAAGAGAGAGAGAGAATCAGTGAGAGGGTAAGTTAGAAATCACTCCCCAAGGGAGATAGTCATGCTACAATCCTTTCTCCTCCATTCTCGTCTTGGGGTTTTGCGCATGCACACACACATGCCCAGTATGATTTTCAAGCTGTCAGGTCTGGGACTTGAACCATAGTCAGTTATGTGGGAGTCCAGCACCTTCACCATGCCACCTGCTGGCCCCGAGGGGAATAGGTTTTTCTGTTTGTTTGTTTGATTTTAGAAGAGTTATTTGTATAAGCTTAAGCTTTTTGTGTATTGTTGTATATTAAATAACGTATTAACATATTTGGGAAGTATATTATTAGAAAAAATATTACTTTGCAGTTGGAAAGAGGTGCACTTGATAGGTTTCTATACTATAAAAGGGACACTGTCTATGCAAACAGTGCATGGGAGTCTTCAAAAACTTCATGAACTGTATACTGAAGAAATCTAGAGACCAGCAGTTAGCTTAATGGCTATGTCACTGGACTCCCAGTAGTCGACCATGGTTCGAGTCCCGGACCCAGTGGCTTAAACTCACGCCAGGTGCATGTACATGCGTGCCCCAGAGGAGGAGAAGGGATTGTGGCATGGCCTTCCCCCCGGGGAGGGGGGGGGAGGTGATTTCTCTCTTTCTTTCTCTTTGTCTCTCTCTGTCTTTCTGGTGAGCACATGCATCCTCTAGCAAAAACCTCTTAAAAAAAAAAAAAAGAAAGAAAGAAAAAAAATTCTAGATATAGATTTCAAAGTGTTTGCCACTCATTCAACTCATACTTTTTCCTGTTTTTAAGTTATTTATTTATTATTTATTTATTTATTTATTTATTTATTTTTGCCATAGGGCATGTACACTCTTGCTGAGCATACAGAAAGACAGAGACAGAGAGGGAAAGTGAGAAATTACTCCTCAGAGAGGGTTCTCGCACTGTAATCTCTTCTCCTGCATTCTCCTCCTGGGACTTTGAACATGCACATACTCATTTCCAGTATTAGTTTCAAGCCACCATGTCTGGAACTCAAACTACTGTATACACTGTGGGAATCCAGTGCCTTAACCATCTTTCTGTTAATGTTTTGAAGTCCCTTTTTGTATGTAGGGTGCATTAGGAGATAAGAGGGAAAGAAACCTTTGTAAATTAGAGTAATTGAAGGCCAAAAGTGTCAGATATGTAGTGTGGAAAGATATACAAACTGGAAAACACTCTCATTTATGGGTCCATTTCTCATCCTTTTATCAAAATAAATAAGCTTGAAACCTGCCAATAAAGGCTGCCAGGTTACAAAAGTTCATGAACAAATAAGAAGAAACTTGAGAGTCATAGACAGAGATAATTTATTATGGTCTATCTCATATCCTAATCCCATCAATCTAACAAATGTTTTGTGCCTTTTTTTCTTTTACTATAGAGTGTGTGCGCTCACCAGAGAGACAAAAAGAGATAGAGAGACAGAAAGTGAGAAATCATCCCTTGGGAGGTTGGCCATGCCACAATCCTTTCTCCTCTACTCTCCTCCTAATAGTCTGTGTACATAAGCACACATGTCCAGAGTGAGACTTGAGCCATCAGATCCAGGATTCAAACTGTTGTGAACCAGGTGGGAGTCCAGCACCATAACCACTACACTACCTGCTGGCCCCTATTCTGTGTTCTTTTTATGACATGGTCATTCAGGTGTGACAATCAAAAGAGATACAGGAGAGACTCAGGAAAATAAATAACAACAAATGGTACTATTATTTTCAGGTTCTAGATGTAGGAGAAGCATGGAAATTTTTCTTAACCAGCTAATAATATAAACAAACAAAAAACTTTTTTTCAGTTCAACCTATCAGATCCTGGCTTCTTGTGAGCATTCAGGACATATTTCAGGCTGACCTGCCTGGGGACTCAAACTTCAGTCACCATGTGGGATTTGGCTTCTCTGGAGCCATGCATTACCACCATACAGAACTAGACCTCTATTTCTTCTTATATTAGATTTACCAGGTTTTGTTTCTCAAATAATTAGTCTATCAAGGATAGTAGGTGGTATAGTGGTTAAGGTGATGGACTCCCACATGGCTAACCACAGTTTCAGTCCCAGACCCAGCAACTTGAAACTCACACCAGGCACATGTGCTTGCGTGCATTCTCAAAATCCCAAGAGGAGAATGCAAGAGAAGGGATTTCAATGTGGCCATGCTCCTCCGAGGTTGATTTCTCACTTTGCCTCTCACCGTTTCTCTCTCTCTCCCTCCTCTGGTAAGCACACAAGTCCTAAGGCAAAAAGTTCTTTTAAAAAAATCAGTGCAATAGTATTTGGAAAAACATTCATCATTATTGGAAATATGTGAGTCCTCTCCAGTGACTTTTGTTCCGAACATGTAAATTACTTTTAGAAAAGGAAAGATCTGAAATGTGAAAAGAAGTTCACAAACAAGGAAAGGAATATACTTAAAATGATCTTTTTTTTTTTTTTTTGAGTTTTTTGCTATAGGGCGTGTGTGCTCACCAGGCAGACAGAGAGAGACAGAGAGACAGAAAGTGAGAAATCACCCTCCAGGGGGGATGGCCATGCCACAATCCCTTCTCCTCCATTTTCCTCTTGGGATCTTGGGCACACATGCACCTGCGCCCAGCATGAGTTTTAAGCACCAGGTCCAGGACTTGAACTGCAGTCGACTACATGGGAGTCCAGCGACATAGCTATTATGCTAACTGCTGGTCACTTAAAACAATCTTTAAAAAAAAAAAAGAAGAAGTAATGTTAGAATACAAGTAACATTATGTCTCATAACTGTGTGTAATTATTACTCATCCATGTTATGGGATAACAATAAAAAATACATGAAATATATGGAATCATTGACTTAGGATCACAGGATTAGAGGAAAAGAGAAAGGTAAAAATTATGCTGCAGGGAACAGCAGATGGCTTGATGGTTATGCCACTGGACTTTTACTTGGTTGACCACCATTTGAGTTCTGGATCCAGTAGCTTGAAATTCGTGCTGGGCACATGTGTGTGTGTGTGTGTGTGTGTGTGTGTGTGTGTGTGTGTGCCCAAAGTCTCGAGAGGAGAAGGGATTGCAGATTAACCAACAGCCCTGGGGGTGATTTCTCACTTTCTGCCTCTGTCTCTCCAGTGAGTGCACACATCCTATAGCAAAAATCTCTCGAAAAAAACATCATACTGGGTACATGTGTATGATAACCAAAATCCCAAGAAGAGAATGGAGGAGAGGGGATACCATTATCCACTCAGGTAGTAATTTCTCCTTCTCTCTCTTTCTTTCTCCAGCAAGTGCAGTGTACACACAAAAACAGCCAAAAGATGGTGGTGGGGGATCAGGATTTCTGAATGCCACTTTTTAATATTTTATTTTCTTATATTTTTTTTACATTGAGTCACCGCTTTGTCTTTACAGCAAACAAACTGGATCTTCTTAGCATAAATACAATGTGTGTTAGTCCAAAGATGTTTTTTCCCTTTAATTCCCTCCCTCCTGTACCCACTGCTTACCCTCCTCCCACTTTGTCTCTAGTCATTCATTTTGAGAAAAGTTCACAAGTTGAAATGTTCACTTTGTAAGTTAAATAATGTGATTGAAGGTATAAAAATAAATAAATAAATAAATAAATTAGAGAAAAAATGAAGTTTATTTACTTATTTCTTCCACAAGTAAGAGAAAAAAAGAGTGAGGGACACGCAAAAGGGTCTTCATACTACAATCCACTCCCTGCCTCAGTCACCTGGATCACAGCACATGCATACCCTCGGTGAACAAACAAGCCCTGGGATTGAACCAGGGGCCTTTCATTGCTCTTACATTGCCACTGCATCACCACCTATCTGGATGCCACACTTGTTCCTAACTACTCATGGGAACTTATCAAGGACCAAGACCACTATTCTTGTCACTCATTGGAAGGGGCAATGCTAAAAAGATGTTTCAGGGCCTTCTTTATGTCCTTGTTCCTCAGGCTGTAAATAAATGGGTTCAGCATTGGGGTAACCACAGTGTACATCACTGAAGCAATTGCGCTGGCCTTGGAATTTTGGGTAGCAGCTGAACTAAGGTACACCCCAAGACCTGTGCCATAAAACAAGAATACAACAGAGAGATGAGACCCACAGGTGGAAAATGCCTTATACTTCCCTCTGGCAGATGTAATCCTCAGTATGGAGGAGACAATCTGGAAGTAAGAATAAAGGATTCCAGAAAAGGGAATAATGCCCATCAGCCCTGTGGCGAGATACATCTCGATGACATTGAGCAGGGTGTCTGAACAGGCGAGCTGGATGATCTGACTGATTTCACAAAAGAAGTGGGGGATCTCCACGTTGGTGCAGAAGGACAACCGTAACACTAGCAAAGCCCGGAGCAGGGAGTCCAGGACACTCAAAATCCAGAATGTCAGCAGCCCAAAGCCACAGAGCCGGGGGTTCATGATGACCGTGTAGTGCAGGGGGTAACAGATGGCCACAAACCGGTCATAAGCCATCACAGACAGGAGGAAAATGTCCAACTCTGCAAAAAGGATGAAAAAATACATTTGGGCAAGGCAACCGTCATAGGTGATGGTTTGGTTCTGGACATGGATGTTCAGCAGCATCTTTGGGATGGTGGTGGAGGTGAAACAGATGTCACAGAAAGATAGGTTGGAGAGGAAGAAGTACATGGGTGTGTGCAGGTGGGAGTCAGTGATGGTGGCCAGGATGATGAGCAGGTTTCCAGTCAGAGTAATCAGGTACATGGACAGGAATAGCACAAAGAGGATTGGCTGAAGCTCTGCCTCTTGTGAAAGTCCAAGGAGGATGAATTCTGAAAAATGTGTGTGATTTTCTGTTTCCATGGAGCTGTGGTGACTGTTGGAAAGAGGCAATAACAACGGTACTTTACAAAGACATTATCGGGACTACCTATTATTGTGTGCATAGGACAGTGCTGCTTGGCAAGACCAGGGCACATGAGAAGCCCAGGTTTGATTCCCCACCCCCTCTAAAGGGACGGATGTGGTGATGAGTCCCTGTCATTCCAGATAGACTAAGGCAAGAGGATCAGACTCTCAGGGTCAGCAGAAGCAATATAGTGAACCCTGCTTGAAAAAGCTGAGCATATTCTGCATCTGTGATCCCAAATACTCAGGAGGTTGAGATGGAAAGATTATGATACAGTGAGACTCTGTCTTTAAAAAAAAGAAAGCAAGGGCCAGCAGATGGCATAATAGTTATGTTGCTGGACTTTCACTTCACGCAGGGCACATGTTTGTGCATACCCAAAATCCCAAAAGGAGAATAGAGGATATGGGATTGCAGCATGGTCATCCCCCCTCAGGGGTGATTTCTTGCTTTGTGTCTCTCTGTCTCTCCAGCAAATGCACATGCCCTATAGCAAAAATCTCTCTGTTAAAAATAAAATATAATAAAGATTGGGGGAGAAGACAGCAAAAATCTCTCTCGAAAAAATAAAATATAATAAAGATTGGGGGAGAGGACAGCAGATGGCATAGCAGTTACTTTGCTGGACTTCCACATGGCCCACCATTGTTTGAGCTCCAGACCCAGTGGCTTGAAACATATAGTGCGCATGTGTGCATGCTTGCCCAAGTTCCTGGGAGAAACATGGAGGAGAAGGGACTGCAGCATGGCCATCCCCCCAGGGGGTGACTTTCCACTTTCCCTCTCACTGTATCTGTCTGTCTCTCTACAGTCAGCACACACACTCTAAGGCAAAAATCACAAAACAAAAAAAGAGGAAGTCTGTTAGTAATGTTGTGTAGAGTACTCTCAATCCACCTTGTGTGTGGTATATATCATTTTGGGTAAAATCTCTTTATAATCTAAATGATGTATAGTGATTGAATGTACAAATAATAATAATTTAAAATGTTTTATTAAAAAATAAATATTAGAGAGCCAGCAGGAGACATGGTGGTTGGGGCATTGAACTCCCACATGGCTGACTGAGATTTGAGTCCTGGACCTGGTTGCTTGCTTTCTCGCTTTCTCTCTCTCTCTTATTTGCCCTGTTGTAAATTAAAAATAGTAATAATGATAAATAAAATCAAATAAATAATTATTTTAAGAAGGAAATATTAGGCTTCAGTTGATGCTAAAGCTATTTCCAAGTCTGTGGTCTTATAAAGGGAAGGTCGTGATCTTATTGAACGTCTACTTTTCTTCCCTGTTAGGAACCTTTCCTGTTAGAAGGGAACCCTCACACCATACCTTATTCTCCTTTCGCTTACAAGAATGCTCTGAATTCTCAAGATGGTATCGCTGAAGAGTTCATTTTCCCTGGATCTGTTCATCCCATGAACAAATTATAAAAAATAAAAAATAAATCTGTCCCTAGGAAGGACAGGGAGACAGAGTCACTCACAAAATGTCTACTAGACACAATTGTGTTTTCTCTGCTACTGGTTAAATCAAACTGAAGTAGATATACAACAGGAGTCCTTACAATACCTTAGGCTTCTAGGACTCAATTCTCATGGTGCCTCATTAAATAAATTGTTACATTGTCACTGCATTCTCTGAGGAATACAATTTTCTAAAAGCTAAGGAGCTAAAACAAAGTAGACTGTGTTGGCAGTCTTATCCCTTGGGGTAATTTTAAAGTAAATGTCAGTCTTCTTTCCTCAGCAAATATTTTTGTTGGTTTGTTTTAAGGTTTTGTCATAGAGTCCATGTGCTCCACAGAGAGAGATAGTAAGAGTGAAAGTGAAAAACTACCCCCTGGAGGGAATGGCCACACTGCAATCCCTTCTCCTCCATTCTCCTCTTGGGATTTTGAATACACAGACACACATGACCAGCATTATTTTAAAGCCACTGGGTCTGAGACTCAAACCACACTCATCCACATGGGATTCCACTGCCTTAATCACCATGCCACCTGCTGGTGGCAAGCTCTTTAGGGAGCAGGGTATATGGACAAGTGTACTCCATATTTAGAAACTCTACTTGACCCATTATAGCCCTGATACAAAGGGTTGGACAAGATCTTTTGAGTCCACAGGACTTTGATTCAGGAATGTGAAAATCATCAAAACCTACTTTCTTTGCATTATTTCCTCATGTTAGTTATTTGGACATTTGCCACTCCTTACACTAAAATAAGAAAAGAAACAAAACAAAACAAAAGAGAAGAAAGAAAGAAAGGGAGAGAAAGAAAGAAGAAAGAAGAAAAGAAAGAAAGAAGAAAGAAAGGAAAGAAAGAAAGAAAGAAAGAAAGAAAGAAAGAAAGAAAGAGGAAAGAAAGAAAGATAGAAAGAAAGAGGAAGAGAAAAGAAAGAAACAGAAAGAAAAAGAGAAGGAAGGGAGAAGGAAGGAAAAAGAAAGAAAGAGAGAGAAAGAAAGAAAACAATTTTTTGAGAGTTTTTTGCTATAGGGCACATGTGATCGCGAGAAAGAGACAGAAAGTGAGAAACCACCTCCCAGGGGAATGGCCATGCTGCAATCCCTTCTCCTCCGTTCTCCTCTTGGGATCTTGGGCATGCATGCACACATGCCTGGCGTGAGTCTAAACCACTGCGTCTGGGACTCAAAACGTGGTTGACTACATGGGAGTTCAGCGACATAGCCATTACGCTAACTTCTGGTTCCGGAAAGAAAACAAAATTTAATAACCACTGTCAATATTAATCATTTTTACACTTCCTATAATATTACCGTTTTGTGTTCTATACATTCAAAAACAAAAAGGGATTTCTAAATATAGAGTCTGAAATAGACTCTCTGCTTTTACATTCAAATACACAGAGCCAGTCCCATGGCCTATTGATTAAAAGAGTTATATCCCATATGGCTAACTATGCAATTCAAGTACTAGACCCAGTAGCTTAAGAAGCATACTGGACATGTGTGTTTGTGCCCCAAATCCTGACAGAGTGGAGGAAAAGGGATCGCATCATAGCCATGCCCCAGTGAGGGTGCTTTCTCCCTCTCTCTCTGGTGAGCATAGGCACACTCTGGATTATAAACAATCAAAAGAATTGTAAACATATCTTCACAGAAAGATGTATGCACAAATTTTTGGATCAGATTTATTCGTAATAGACAAAAACAGAAATAAAGTTGCATTGACACATGAATAGCTAAGTAAAATGTAATGCATTCATACAATGAAATACAACCATGCAATAAAAATGAACAAAATACTAATGCATTCAAAACTTGAATGAATTTCAACCTGCTTCCTTCACTTAGCAGTTCAAGATTACCAACTTCTTCTGGCTTTAGAATCCTAACTATATTCCTACATTGTCATTGTCATAAATGGGAAAAGAAAGATTGGTACTTTAGGTAGATAGATGGACTGAAGTAGTTTTCCATACTTGAAGTTAATATATGTTGATTGGGAATTTTATAATCTAGCATCCCAGGTATAATGGATTGAGTGGCAACCCAGACGAAGATATATCAACCTCTTAATCCTCATACTTGGGACTATAACCTTATTTGGAAAAAAAAAATTGGAGAAGTAATTTTTTAAAATTATCTTGGGGGACCAGCAGTTAGCATAATGGCTATGTCGCTGGATTCCCATGTAGTTGACTGTGGTTTGAGTCCCGGACCCGGTGGCTTAAACTCACGCCAGGCACATATGCGTGTGTGCCCAAGATCCCGAGAGGAGAATGTAGGAGAAGGGATTGCGGCGTGTCCATCCCCCCTGGGGGGTGATTTCCTGCTTTCTCTCTCTCTGTCTCTCTCTGTCTGTCTGGAGAGCGCACGTGCCCTATAGCCTCTCAAAAAAAAAAAATTATCTTGGGCCAGTCAGTGGCATGGAGGTTAACGTGGTTTGGATCTCACATGGCTGACTGTGTGGTTTGAGTACCAAACACAGAGGCTTGAAAAACAGTGTGTGTGTGTTTGTGTGTGCCCAAATTCCCAAAAAAAGAATAAAGGAGAGGAGAATGCAACATGGCCATCCCTCTGGGTGTTTCAATAACAAACATCCTTATGAGGTTGAGAAAAGGAGAAAATATAGGCAGCCATTGGAGATATATAGTTATAGACATGAGCAATATATATATATGTCATTATATGCATGTATCCATATCCTTATCCATTACTGAGGTGACATATGTTTGAGTATCACACACACACACACACACACACACACACACTATATATATATATACTCATATATATAACATACTCATTAATACATAAATATATAGCATATATAGTACATTTTCTTTTTTATTTACAATTTTAATGCATTCAATCACATTATTTAGCTTACAAGGTGATCATTTTAATATGTGAACATTTCTCCCCGGTCGAGTTGATCAAAATATAACAACACTACCTCCCTGTCTCAACAATGCTGTCTTTGTATCCCTCCTTCAAATGTTCTTCCCCAGGCCCCACTCTTCCACACACACCGCACCTGGCATTCACATCCACCTCTTCTGTTTGTACATCCTTTACCCCATCCATTTCAGTTATACAGTGTGGACATTTGGTTTATATTAAGTGGGGACATACAGTGACTCTCCTTCATAGCCTGGCTTGCTTCACTCAGCAGTAAATCTTCCATATTCTTCCACTTTCTGTCAAAAGCCAGGGTTTTGTTGTTTTTAATGGCTGAATAGTATTCCATAGAGTATATGTGCCACAGTTTTTCAATCCATTCAGCTGTATGGGGGCATTTGGGTTAGTTCCATGTCTTAGCAATCGTGAAAAGTGCCTCAATAATCAATGTGCAAGCACTTTTCCAATGAGAAATTCTTCTGTCCTTTGGATAGATGCTGAGAAATGGGATTACTGGATCATATGGAAGTTCTATTTGTAGATTTTTGAGGAGTCTCCAAATTGTTCTCCACAGTGGTTGGACTAATTTACA